ACCCTTTAACTAAGTATGCCTCTAATAAAGGTCCCGTCATTAAACCATGATTAACTTAGGGGAATCCCCTAATTATTATCCATGATGCATTGCAGGTAAACACTCATCTATAGTCTGCATAATGGCTGCCGTCAGAAATCGCAGTAAAAACTTTGAAAGTTGTGAAATACAGGCCTAGTTGAAGATCATATCAGTGTGTTAAACAGCAAACTGACTAACTCCATTACTAATGACAAAAAGAAGCAGATATGGGACAAAATAATGTGTGAGCTCAATAGCATTGGGGTAAGCAATAGAACGTCCAAAGAAATCAATACAAAATTGAACAACATGTTTGAAAATGCAAATAAAAAGTGTTTTCAGACAGAATATGGTCTACTACACTAAATGTGTCAATTTCTTATGTAAATATTATTCAAACAATCAAAAAACTTTCAAAGAATATAGAATGTATACCCTATATCCACGTATGATATGATATTGAACAAAACTAAATGTAGATACTGAAGTCAGTTTCATGAAAAAGTATCTGAACTATACGCAAAATACACATCATAATACTGACAGTGTAATCGGAAGGATAGGGCGATTGTGTTTACTCTTGTTCAGCCGACCTTCACCTCAAAGAAATTGCCTAATATGTGCAACAAGGTTGAGGTATGACATCACTACCGCTGACCGATTTCTTACAAAATGGCGACTTCGCTGACAAGGGTACACAGGATTTGGCGAGGACTCTTCCCTTGATTCAGGGATCATTTGTACATAAATATGTGATGTAAGTAATCAGAATTATTCTGACTCTCTGTGTATTGTTATATGTGTTTATAGTTTTCAATGGATAAATAAGAGAAAAAGCCAGAAATGCTGATAATTACCCTTGTCGTTCTGCGTTATTTTGCATCAGTCATGGCGTCACGCTGCACGGAAACCTTGATAAATTCTTATGAATTATCAAATCATTGCATTGTATCTGTTTTTAATTTCCTATTTCTTGGCACGATACTCTTTCCATGCATATTCTAAAGATATTGAGCCATTGCAAGAAAAGAATGGACGGCTGGGTGTCGGACAATTCCGGAAAATGCCACGCAGTGTGTAATCGGATTTTTTCTTTGTTTACATTTCAAACAAGTGCAATCTTTCGAGTACAATGTTCGTTTTCACCCCAATATCTTTCGCTTCATTTCATCCAGACAGTTGGTATTGGTGACAAAGACCATTTCCAAAATGTATAGGGAATTCAGTGGTGTATTTCTCGCAGCTGAATATGAAATATACGTGATGTAATTGGTGTCTCAATACCGGCCTTCGCGAAACGTGATTTTGGAAACAGTACCCAATATGGCGGAAAACGCACTTCGGCGTTTGTGTAAGTGTATTTTCGAAAACATCCCAACCGATTCTAGGTTCATCGGCAACGTTTCAGAATTATCATTAGCGATTTTATGAAAAACTGATATCGGTGATCATTACTATGCTACTTTTGAAATTCTATATTCCCAGTAACTGTCAAATTCTCACATTTCAAAACTTACAGCAAATAACTCTGTGAATCGCGATTACATATTGTGTCAAAAATGGCGACACGACTAAGTCTATTTTGAAAGGTTATTTTAAGCACTTTAGTTTTGTCTGATTTAATAGTGGATGGTATCAAGAAACAGGGAATTTCCCGCAGAATTCAAAACTGTGAAGTATATTTGTATATAAATATGTGATATATTTAGAATTTTATTGAACTTCAAAGTGAGGGTTAAAGAGGAAGGACATATATGTCCCTGTGGCACCCGGTCGGGGTTAATTACTCCGTTCACGAAAATGTTTCTCTTTTCTCCGACGTCGAAGTTGATGGTACATTATGTCGTCTGCCATGTTGATACAGCTAATGATGAGTTAATGATACCCCCAAACCTTCATTAGCTTAATGATGGATTAATGAAGGGATTCCTTTATTAAGGATTTCATGCAACTGAAGATAATCAGTGATTAACTAATCATAGTTTAATTAACGATTAAAGCTTTATTAAAGTTTGATGCAACCGTGTCCTGTTTTTCTGTCCTAAAACAAGTTACCTTATTTTGAAAAGTGAAAGTAATAATTGATTGTTATGTGGCCTATAAATTCGTTATTTATTGTGGATGGATAAAAGTTTGCAAACTAAGACTTAGGAAAAGTTACAGCCAAACTAAAACAAAAGTAAAATTGTTAAATGCAGTAAAAGTTGCTTTACAAACAAAACAAACAGATTTCAGTTGTAATTATCAGTATCCGGCAAGGAGAAGTGTTTATTCAATACAATAAACTCAAAATCATAATAGACTTATTCCAAAATCATATCAACGTGGCCTTTTCAGTTTTTGTGAGTTAGCAATCTGAATTGTTGGGAAAAGGTCTGAATCTTTGACACTCGGGTTCTTCCTGATTATGCATAATTAAAGCTTACCTGATGTGTAAATGTCATCTTGGTATATAACACAATTGTTATTTTTAGTCAGAATTTAATTTAATTGTATAGTTTGAGCAGGAGAGTAATAGTTATTTTGGGTAAAAATTCAGTACCATCACATTTTCATCAACATATTCTTTCATAAAGAATAGAAAAGGTTATGGTATTTGTAAAACTGTCAATGGATAATGTTTCTTTAACTACTAGTATAGGTTAAATAAATTGATGGATATACCCTAACTTTTTTGTAGCATCACATCTTATTTTCAAAATAGGGTGATGCTTAATTAATGCACAGATGTATATCTTCAACAAAATTTCTGGACTTTAATCGTAATTATAAAGTATCATCATGAGTAACTGCAACACATTGTCACCAAGTTTTATCTATCGATGTATATCCTGTGTAATCCAGATATTGACTTGGAATTTCTAGGGTGGCTTAATTGAAGGCTTGCTAGGAAGAGTTAATAGTTGATGGCATTCATTATCAAGTATGAAAGAATACTAACCATTATTTTGAATTTGGGACTCATTAAATGCCTTCCATGAATAAACCTACTACTGTTGCTATAGCTGACACTGGGTACGATAATGCTGACCTTTATTGATTTTATTGATGCGCTGCGTTTGTAGAACTGAATAATCAAATGTCGTGAACGTTTTGTACTACATTGTACTTGTGGTATGTATCCGAGTTGGTATTTGTACTATAACAGTATTCGGTAGCATGGCAACAGTGAACTTGTAACATGGCTAGCTATTCTCGAAACCTTCGTAGCCCTACTAACTTTTTAAGCCCATTCTTAACACATTGGCCACGTTCAAAGTTAAGAATTTCTTAGGGCTACGAACGTTTCGAGAATACGGGCCCGGGGTCCCGATTCACAAAGCGTTCGTGGCGCTACGACATTCATAAGTCAATGGTAAACGATAAAGTTACGACAGGTCGTAACGTTACGAACGCTTTGTGGATCGCGGCCAGGTTCTTTTCTCCGAGCTGGAAAAACCAACATCAAAATACGTTCGGTGACTTTTAATACTGACAAACAGGTACTTGACAAACGTTCTGTAAGTAACCCTGGGTGTCTGGGAGCGGAGTCACCTCTGACCTATCTAGTTGTGTCCTCGTCGTGTTTTGGGCTTCGTATCTTTTCTCCATATGCTTTAAGACCCGAGAAGATCCGGGTTAGAATTGGTCTTCAGTATACCCATGCTTGCCGTAAGAGGCGACTAACGGGATCGTGTGGTCAGGCTCACTGATTTGTATCCCAAATTGCGTAGATCGGTGCTTATGATATATTAATCACTGGATTGTCTGGTCCAGACTCGATTATTAACAGAACGCCGCCATACACCCCTAATATTGCTGAGTTCGACGTTAATAAACAAACAACTGACTGAGTTTTGGTTTTACGCCGCTTTTAGCAATATTCCAGCAACATCACGGCGGGGGACACCAGAAATGGGCTTCACACATTGTACCCATGTGGGGATTCGAACCCGGTTCTTCGGCGTGACGAGCCAACGCTTTAACCACTAGGCTAACCCACCGCCCCAATGAACAAACAAACCAACTACAACTACAAATTAAAAGCTTAAGAATGGTGACAAAATGCCTGCCAATGCTGGAAATTATGTCATTCAGCAAAAGAATATTCAAATGATTGATGACATGAAATTTGCATAAGGCGTATGAAAGATCAGTCCACAACTGTATATGTTCAAGTCAACGTGAAGACTTGGGTCACGACTGGCTTTCAGCAACCAAAGGTATTGGGAACAAGGCCTGCTAGGTTGGTTGATATATGACGTTGTATCCTCATGGGTGCTCACATGAGTCACTGGGTTTTCATGCCAAGACACTATAAAGGTCCCAGTCATAATCCGGAGCATTGCTGAGCACGGCGATAAACAACAACCACCGTATTTATGTTTCGGCTTACCTTATTAAAATGAACTTTCATTCACAGCAGTACATGAAAAGAGTATAACGAACCGGAAATAAGTTCTCTGGAACCAAGACATTTTGTACATAACAGAAAGGGGAAATTACCATAAGTAGGCTTGTCAGTCTGGAGTGGTGTGTGTCGTCATCATCGGTGGGAACAACTCCGTGAAAACTAAAAAGAACTTTGCGACTAACATGGAGGCATAATGTCACCCGATTTTGAGTCTATAATTATTAGAACTTCCGGTTTAATAACATATCTTCCGGTTTGGGACAACGCATGCCCAGTGCACTTTGAAACAGAATTATGTAGGCCTCTTAACTATCTTTTAAGTTTATCATTGAAGTCGTAAGCACTTGTTATAAGTGACGTCACTTCCCTTTAGGAAAAACGCAAGTCCAATATACCACTATGGTACTGTTAGTCTGTTCAAGACCACTCGCACGCCCTCACTGGATTGTTTAAATGAAGAAACCTTGCAATGGCAGCAGCAGTCTTTGAACGTCGCCATTGGTCAGTGTTGAACCAGTCAGCAGAAACTATCCGTCCATCGGTTATTGACGTGAATAATACTAATATTATGTATACTGATTCATCATAAGAGTTTATAGTTTTATTCGCACACACTGAAGCATCCTTGATACACGTAACTGTCCCATTGGACGTCAGCCTGAAGTGAGTGACTTATCTCCCCTTGAAGCAGTTCACACACTGTGGCCGGTAGGTGTCTGATGCTGAAGCCCGTGCAGGACTCCGAGCGTTCGCATGCAGCAGCACATGCTGCAGTATTGTCGATTCCTTCGCTGATGGTCTTCAGTGGAGTCTTGGTGGAATGTTGTTGTTTATATTGAACGAGGGATGCGCCTGGAACAAGAATGAATGAGTGAATATGGTTTTCCGCCGCTATAAGCACTGTTCTAGGAATATCACGACGGGGCACACCAGATATGACTGAGTGGGTTTAGCTTTATGCCGCTTTTAACAATATTCCAGCATTATCATGGCGAGGGACAATTGAACATGGGTCTCTAGCCTGCAAAGCGAACGCTTTAACCATTAGGCTACCCTCAACAACCTGCTTGGAAGAAATACAGTCAAATGGTTCCGTAATATTTTGTCGGATTAACGTGATTCTCGGATTAACGAGAGCTGACTGTACAGTGTTTTTAAACCATAACACTAAAGTTTCTTTCATCAGCGAATCAAACCATGACGTTCTTCCAGCGAGAGCACTGACCAGTGAGAACTCCGATCATCGTCCTTCTCTTCACATTACTTCACATTACTTCACATTACTTCAACATTTCATTACAAGGGTTCCTATATTGGTTACACCTACTTTGGTTGTCAGTCCAGATTTGAAGAGGTCATCATACGACGATGTCGTATTGGCCACACAAGATATACTCATGAGTACCTATTAAAAGGTGAGGATCCTCCGTTTTGTATCCCTTGTGATGAAAGAATCACGGTCAAGCATGTCCTGCTTGACTGTGTTGAATATTCCATCACAAGGGATATCTATTTCAAAGTAAAAACTATGAAGGATCTTTTTAGTACTATAAGTTCTCATTTAATTATTGCATTTTTAAAAGAATTAAACTTGTTAACTGATTTGTAAATAGATACATATTTTATTATTGGTAGTTTAGATTAGTAACTGAGATTGTTAGTGGCTGTACCCTCAAAGGGGGTTGAAGTAGTGTAAAATTATTGTCATCCTGAGAGGGTACGTAAGTCCCAAAACTTTGAAAGTCAATTGAAACTGACCAGGATTTTTAAACGTAGTATTCTTGTTATTTTAATTTTGGCTAACATTTCTTATAATCGCCAACGGCTGAAGGGATGGTGTAAATCCAACTAGGGTCCATGCAGGTAGCAAAGGTACTGTAAGTCCCCATGGTCCCTAGTATGGTGATCTACCTTCTGTTGTTGGCGATCTATAGCCTGTTTTTATATTGTGCTGTCCCTATAGTGCTATTAGTTTTAAACTTTCCACGCTAGTTTCAATTCTAATTGTGATATTCTAGTTGTTTTACTGTCCTTGGTCGACAGGTTTTTATATTATACATATATTCCACTTCAAAATCAAATATGTTCTCTTCACGATATGGCTGCAATATTGCCGATGTGACGTTAAATAATAACTCACTCACTCACTCACCCATTACAAGGGTTCACAAAAAGTTCCCACTGGGTTGGGCTCGTTTCACGTCCAACCCGTGAAGATTCGGGTTAGAATTTGTCCTCATCTGTCATGCTTGTCAATTCTGACGGGATCGCGTTTTCAGTCTCGCTGACACATGTCATCGTATCCCAGTTGAGTAGATAGATGCTTATCATGCCAATCACTGGACTGTCTGATCCAAAGTCAAATATTTACTGACCGCCGTAACAGAACTGGAACATTAGTCTCTGAATATATACTGACTAGCAAAAGAAACGCAATTCAAGAAATCAAAACAATTGTGTTAAAGTTTCAAATCCAAAAGTATAATTTTCATGAATTCTGAGTTGCGTTTTTATTGCTGGTCAGTATATAATTTTGATAAAAACAACAAGCCCTTCATAATTGAAAAGGGGCCCCAGTGAGGAGGAACATCCTGCACTTGAGGAAATCTAGACTTGCTTCACTGAGTGCCTTAGCATTGCAAAAACGGATTGACAGAGGGAAAATAATGCGGTTCAGAGGATGTGAGACAGACAAGAAGGTAAACCTCATCACTGGATATTTTGTATTTGAAGTTTGATTACACCTTTAACTATATCATACTTACATGAATCGAAATGTGTAGATATTGCCTCTCCAAACACTCGTACGTCACACATTTGGAGCATATCGTCTAAATTTAACTTGTTTTTACCGCTGATTCTGACAAAGCGACCCGTGACGGGTCTTGAGCAGGTGACGGTAACAGTCTCCCCGGGCGTGACACACTACCGGAGTAGAAGTAGCATAATTTGGGGGCAGAGTGTTGGTTGGAAGGTTGTTCTTGGTACACGTCAATCGAAAAATCATGAAGTCTCTCATCTGCAACTGAAACCGTGCCATTTTAGGTTTGAGATTACTGATGTTTAGTGAAGATGCGGGTTAGAATTGTCTACCCAACCGCCCCGCAAATCATTAAACCATCAACATGTATTGACTTATAACCATAATGATTCCCATAAACTTTAAACATTCAGGAAATTTTAAACATTGACAAATTATTGCGTTGATAAGTTGATTTAGCAGTTTACCAATCACGACAGACACCGACATCAATATCCTCTTGTCTGCGTACATTTCTACTGAGGTTCCTGCTGGATCCTGCTCTCATCCCTTACAAGCATCACTTGCTAAAGGCCCACGCCAGGTTCATCTTTCAGGTATTAGATTGCTAATATACTCTCCCAAAAAAGAATCGCATATATGGAATTTCAACTGTATTTTTATGTTCATTTTGAAACATCTCGTAGGCTTTATGAATCAATGAAATATAGCGAAATTGCACACTGGGAATGCAGACTTATCCGTCTTTGGCACCAATTCGAGGAAAGTCAGTTTGAGTGTCACATGGAGACGTGTGGTGGCGCTGAAGTCAATACCTCGTGTGACCACCGTGGGCATCAAGAACTGCACGGCATCGCCTCGGCATCGAACAAATAAATCTCGTGTTGCCCAATCGCAGCCCACTCTGTCAGTAGTGCCTGTGCGAGCTGCTGAAGTGTCTGGGGCTGAGGGTTACGGCGTCGCCCCGTCTGTCCAGGGCATCCCACAGATGTTCGATCGGGTTTAAGTCCGGTGATCTTGAGGGCCAGGGGAGCACATTGATGTTGTTGTTCTGGAGGAAGTGTCTAGTGTGACGTGCGGTGTGGGGCCTGGCATTGTCCTGTTGAAACAATCCCCTCTGGCGATCAATGATTGGAAGGAGGTGTGGGCGTAGGATTTCGTCACAGTACCGTTGAGCTTTCAGGTTGCCCTGGATCATCACCATATCACTTCTCCTACGGCACAACACTGCCCCAGCCGAATTTGTCCACCTGGGGAACGCAAGCGTCGGCAAAACATTCACGTCGACGTCTGTACACCCGCATTCTTCCATCGCGTCGTTCCAACAGAAATCGTGATTCATCACTGAACCAGATTCTACGCCAATTCGGTAGGTTCCAGGCCTGAACGTTGGTGCACCATTGAACTCGATGTCGACGATGTTGTTGTCGAAGCACAGGGCCAAAATAAGGTCTTCTGGCACGTAAACCAGCCTCTCTCAACCTGTTCCTGATGGTCTGTGCAGAAAGCCTCCTCAATCCGGGTATTTGTGGAGCGGTACTGGTCGCCGTAGCTGTTCGATGACGCAGGTGATGTACCCGGATGTAGCGATCCTGCGCCGCAGTGGTCGCTCGAGGTCGCCCACTACGAGGGGCATCTGCTACCGCATTCTGCCGGCGATATCTCTCCCAGAGCCGTGAAATGGTGCTTTGGTGAACATTCATGCGTCGGGCAACTGCACGTTGAGACTGGCCAGCTTCAAGCAAACCAATGGCGACTGACGGTTGGCTTCACTTAGACGTGGCATTTTGCGTTCGTCAACAATATTCCAAATACAGTGAATAATCGACAGACAGCGATCAACCTTTTATACCCATCATTGAGACTATCTGATCCCCAACTTTCATGTGAATTGTGTATTGTGTGACACTACACGCCGAAATTGAAAATCATGCTGTTAAATACGGGTATTTTACGGATGGTGCGTTTTGTTGTGATGTTTCAAAACATAAACACCATAGGACTCATAAACAGAGCAAAACCTTTTGTAAAATGAATCACGTTTTAATTCATTGCTACATGAAATTGCTATTTTCATGATGCGTTTCTTTTTTGGGCGAGTATATATTACCAGTGAAGTAACATGTGGGAATATTGGTTAGCAACATAAAACACATTTATACGCACGTCAGCAGTCACTTCTAGCTGTGACCTTGACCTTGGTTACTTTGACCTTGACCTGTAGGTCCACTTGCCACCAGGGGTCGTTGTCTGTAGTTTCAACAGAGAAGCAGCTGCTACTGCCCCAAGTTGTGCCAGTATTCCCATCGTTTACCGCTTGTGGTGGATAGGTGTGGTAAGAACTTGCATTAGCCGGCTTGTCCAGTGCCAGGTCAGTTTCTTGACCAAATCAAAAAAGAACAAACATGACATCATGGACTGATGGGTTCTGTTTCAGCGTCAGGTTCGAAGACTTGGTTTACACATGTCATCGTATCCCAACTGCATCGATCGATGCTCATGATGTTAATCACTGGATTGTTTGGTCCAGGCTCGATTATTTACAGACCGCCGCAATATTGCTGTGGGGTGAAACAACAACAAAACAACAAATTACTTGTTTTGAACTGTCTGCTTTTATTAACACTGTGTACAGGCTGAGGTGAATAAATGTATGAATTTTCTTTTTCACAATAGAGCGAGTGAGTGAGTGAGTTGGGTTTTACGCCGCTTTTAGAAATATTCCAGCAATATCAAGGCGGTTTTCACAATAGACCCTCCTCGACAAATAGTGTACGTTTTTCAACAAACGTGCATTAATGACCAAACTACAAAAAAGTTGTGGCCATGGAAACACGAAAACTTTGATGAAAATATCAAAACTATTGATTAAAAGGCATCAACTTAATTTTTCAAGATTTCCTACTATTTGAAACACTCAAACCTGAGCTAACTTCAACTAAAAGCATGTGGCGACATACATGTTGGTTGTCGGTAATCCAAGGGAAAGGGAGGTTACTCTAATGACAGTTAGGAAAAAGGAGGTTACTCTAATGACAGTATTTGATTCGACAGCCGAGCCGTTGTCATATTTGAGAAAATGGTTTTGTCGATTTTCGAATTTGAATTTCTTTTGATGATGACATCAGGAGAAAATAGACACATTTTAAGAAATATTTGATGGCATTACATGTTATTGAAAACTGGAAGTATTACAGACTCACATATAACGGTCCACTGTCTTCATGCTGCCAAGGGTTACATTGATAACGAGAATCGGACATAATCCAAGACCAGTATCTCTTAAGCTAACAGAGCCAAGGTACAATACATCTGTCTATCTTTGTCTTCCACATTTCATACATTCGTTGCACACTCGCAAGCATAGACTGGTTCTGGCTGCACCTTCCAATGGGGTTGAAGTATTGAAAAACTGCTTTTTTCTCCATGGTTTTAACTGTTTGATTCTTGATTAATTGGTTGGTTGGTTTGTTGTTTAAGGCCGCAAACAGCAAGCCAGCAATATGGCGGCGGTTTGTAAATAATGGCGTCTGGACCAGAAAGTCCAGTGATAAACAAAACGAGCATGCTCATCGATCTATGCAATTGGGATACCATTACAGGTGACAACCAAGTCAGCGAGTCTGACCACCCAATCCTGTTAGTCAGCTCTTACGACAAGCATGGGTTGCTGGGGATCAATTCTATATTACGGGTCGCCCGTAATTTTGAATACAATCGACTCTTGAGCTTTACAGAGATTTCATATGAATGTGGAAAAGGGCTTGTGACAAGTGACAAGTGACAAGTGACAAGTTTATTCTGTGATAAGGCCTCATGGCAAAAGCACATGAAAGTACATTTCAATATCATACGCGTGACAGCTCAAGTTGGCAGATTTTGTTTCAAGTGTATGAACAGATTTTTTATGTTCGGGATTGTTAGACGTTAACAGCTGATACAATTTTACCCTTGTAGGACATGTGAAATAGTAAGGAGAGATTCGTTGCTCTCTTAGATGCTTATAATATGGACAAACTAATACAAAGAGATACTCATCTTCTCCAACACTCATAGTACAATTAGTGCATAAAAATTGGTCGGTATCAATATTATTATCGTACCTTAATTAATAATAAAATAATACAAATCTTTAATTTGTTTGACTGGAATCTAAATTTACAAAAATATTCGTAATAAATCTCTATGACTAAACAGTTCTACAACTTAGGATTACGACCTGGTTGCATACAAAGAAGCCTACACCAATACCCGACACAGCGACTGAAATAACTTACACAACCTGGATATCTCCCAACATCGCCCAATAAAACACGAGTCAGGGTCAATTTAGAAATATTCAAAGACCTTTTTAAAAATAAACTTTGGACTTTCTCAATAACTCCTCTATAAGTGAAACCCCATATTTCTGAACAATATAATATTATAAGCATTATTTTGGTATCACATATTTTCTGGACTACAAAAAATGGGAGTGAAGGATAAACTTTAATTAATTTATAAACTGGGAACAAAGCCTTCCTAGCTTGAATTGAAAGAGTTTCTCAAGCTTTAGACCAAACTAATCTTGAGGAAAATACAATACCAAGATATTTGTAGTAGGTGACTATTTTAACCTCTTTACCCGAATAATACCACTTCTCTACGCTCTTTAAACACCCTCCATTTCGAAACAATATTATATTTGATTTATCTAAGTTAACCTCTAAACTCCACTTCAAACAATAATTATGTAAGAAATCTAATTTTTGTTGTAACCCATTAACTGAATCGTCTACCAACACTACGTCATCAGCAAACAATAACAAGAGAATATCTTCAATTTCTTCAGTGACAAAAATACCTCTTAAACTACCTTTTCTAAATTCTATAGCCAACTCGGTGATGAATAGAATGAATAATACAGGGCTTAACATACAGCTTTGACGAACGCCGCAAGATGTTGAAAACGATTCAGTTTTTCACCTATTCATTACTGTACATGCCTTGACTTTCCCATACATATCTTGCAGGAGATTATACATTGTACCAACAACCCCCTTATTATGTAACACATACAATAACTTCTGCCTGTCTACAAAACCAAACGACTTATGCAAATCTATGAAGGCGGCATAAAACCGATGTCTTGAATTTCGAAGATATTTTTGACACGAAGATTGT